AATTTTTTTTTTTTTTTTTTTTTTTTTTTTGTGCCACACCATGTGGCTTGCAGGATCTTAGTTCTCCAACTTAAGGGGACTGAACCCAGGCCCCCCTGCAGTGAGAATGTGGAGTCCTAACCACTGGACCACTAGGGAATTCCCTAAAATTCTTTTTTGTTATAAAAAATTTCAAGAACACATAAAAGAAAGTTGTATCCCCACCACCCCCATACCCAGCACTCAAATTCAGTGACTACCTATATTTACCATCCTGTTTCAGTTCTTTGCATCAAGCCTTCTTTTTTTTTCCCTTTTTTTTCTAGAGGTTTTTTTTTTATTATTATTATTGTTGTTTTTATTATTATGATCACTTTGCTGGAGTCTCAGAGACAGAGTCCTTGGGAATAAGCCAGACGGTAGACACAGATCTCTAACAGTCAGCAAATAGCTCAGGATACCTGCCGTGTGCCAGGCTTGATGCTGGCCCTGACTGGGGGCCAGCGGCACTCAGGAGCGGCCATTACCATGTGCCGGGAGGCAGTTGGGTGTGGAGGTTTAAGGCACCATGCCAGAAGGGCCGGCCTTCAGGTCCTGGCCCTGGGGAGCCCCTCCACTCTCTGAAGTTCAGTTTCCCCTCTGAGGAATGGAAAAAGAAGATGACTCCTCCCACCAATGAAGGAACATGGGTAGAGTGTACATGTACACAGCACCAGGTCCATAGCAAGCATGGTGGAGACCACAGAGGATGTCTGTAGGGGCTGAGTGGAAAGGCTGGTACCCCATCTGGGGCAGGTGTGGTCAGGGTGGGCTTCCTGGAGGAAGTGATGGAAGATGGTGCCCTGGAGGGTGGGTAGGAGCATGGAAGGAGGGTTGTTCCAGGCAGGAGAGAAGATCAGGGCTGGCGCTGGAAATCCTGATGTTCCACCCCCAGGGTGGGCTGTACGAGGCAGTGAATGAGGTCTACAAGACCCTCATACCCATCCTGGAAGCCCACCGCGACTACAAGAAGCTGGCTGCCGTGCACGGCAAACTTCAGGAGGCCTTCACCAAGATCATGCACCAGGTGGGCCCAGGACGCCCTCTCAGACCCTGCCCTCGGCCCCAGCCCCTGGCCCCTGCTGAGCTCAGCTGACCTTGACCCTTCTGTCCCCACCCACAGAGCTCCGGCTGGGAGGTGAGTGGCCACCTGCCACTGGTCAACAGTGGTCAGGGACCACCAGGGGGCGCTGGAGGAGCACAGCTGCCTGGCCGCGGGGGCTCAGTGGGCGATGACGCACCCCACTACTTCCCCCCGGAGCCCCCCTCCCTGCCCCAGATCTCCAGGGCAGCCTGTGACTCACCCAGCTGGGAGCTCTCCAGAGACACCCCTCCCTCAGGCAGGGCCAGCTTGGTCACCGCCTGGAAGGGGGGGGCCTCCAACTTCCTCTGTCTCTGTTTCTTTTTCTCTCTCTTTGTGTCTCTTGGTCTCTTTCTGTCCATCTCTCCCTGTCTCTGCCTCTCTCCTTGATCACTCTCTCTGTGTGTCTCTCTTGGTTTCTGTCTCTCCCTGTCTCCCCAGCTTCCCCCGGGATCTCTGCTCATTGCCATTTAATGTCCCCCCTCTCCCGCCTCTCCCCTACTTGGGTCTATTTTTAGGCATCTCCTAGTTTGGGGAGAATTTTCTGGCCAAAGATGGCAGGAACCCAGAACCAAGCGGGGAGGACTGGGTGGGAGCTGGGCGGGGCAGGCAAGTCCCCTCCCTCCCCGGATCTCCTGTCTCTGCCCATGGAATAGTTCTCATGGGGCAGCATAACCAGGACTCTGGGGGTTGGGGGCTGTGACCTCTGACCTCACCCATGACTTTGTCTCTCTGCTCCCTGCTCCCCACCTCCATCTCCTGGTGCCCATCTCGCCCTGCCTGGATCTGCCTTGGTGAGTGAACACGGAGCCACCCCCATCCTTCCCGGTGGAAAGTAGTCTCCCTGGAGGGAGGGGGTCCTTCTTGGCAAACTTAGATCTGGGAGGGTAGGGGAAGCACTGGAACAGGGGAGCCAGAGCCTCTGTCCCAGAGCAGGAAACGGCCATGCCTTCCCTCAGTCACTCATGCATATGAGCACCTACTGTATACCCAGACCTATAGGCATTGAGGACCTAGTTATGAGCAATAGGGCCCCAGTACTCATTTCATATTGAGATCCAGACTCTGAAGAACTGCGTGGGTCAGGAGGGAGAATCAGAAACTAGGGGTTTGTGTTAAATGAGAATAAAGATTTGTGGGAGGTAGGAGACGGGCTGGGGAAAAAGAGTGAGGGTGTGGGCAATTGGCAGTCATGTGGGTCCATGCCCCTGCCTGTGCCCGTGATGTGATGTTCTTAGGGTGTCCGGGGTCCTCCGCCCATGCCCACCTCTTCTGCACATGGGGCCTGAGGACCCATGTATCTCTGGCGTAGGGGGACCTCCAGCAGGGCCTCCTGGGCAACAACAGCTTTCCCACAGCCCCAGCGTGTGTTCGGGACATATTTCCGCGTGGGCTTCTACGGCGCCCGCTTCGGTGACCTAGATGAACAGGAGTTCGTGTACAAGGAGCCATCCATCACGAAGCTGGCCGAGATCTCACACCGGCTGGAGGCACGTCCTGGCGGTGGGGGGGTGGACAGGGCACTGGGCTGCCCTGGGGTGGGGTGGGGTGGGGTGCCCTGGGACAGGGCACTGGGGCTGCAGCTGTGAGTCAGCCCTGTGTCCTCAGGAGTTCTACACGGAGAGATTTGGGGAGGACGTGGTCCAGATCATCAAAGATTCTAACCCTGTGGACAAGACCAAGCTGGACCCCCAGAAGGTGAGGACTCCTTACTATCCCCCCAGGGACCCCAAAATCCTATATTCAGGGAGACTCCAAGTACTATAATCCTGTGGCCCCTCAAATCCTATATCTCTGGGAAACTCCAAAGCTTATCTCCCTCGGGGACCCCACGTCCTGTTCCTCATGGGATTCCCAAACATCCAGAGGAGATATAGGGAGACCTGGGAACCCCAGATCCAAAGCCCCCAGACCCAAGGAGGCCCAAATCCCCTTTCTCCAGGGATGGGGCCCCTGCGGGAGGCCAGCAAGCCCCAGGTGTGTGTATTGGGGCTGAGAGCCTCACCCCTGAGCCCCGTGCCCCAGGCCTACATCCAGATCACGTACGTGGAGCCGCACTTCGACACCTATGAGCTCAAGGACCGGGTGACCTACTTCGACCGCAACTACGGGCTGCGAACCTTCCTGTTCTGCACGCCCTTCACGCCGGACGGGCGTGCACACGGAGAACTGCCCGAGCAGCACAAGCGCAAGACGCTGCTCAGCACGGACCACGCCTTCCCCTACATCAAGACACGAATCCGCGTGTGCCACCGGGAGGAGGTGGGCGGGGCCCAGGCCAGGGGGAGGCCCAGGGAGGGGAGGTACAGAGACCCCAAAACCAAGGGAGGCCAGGGACCCCCAAACTCCAACCTCCAGACCCCAGTCTGCAGACTCAAACCCCTACTTCCAGACCTTGCTGACCCAAGGCTGGACTAGAACCAGACCAGAGTCATCAGAACCAGACAAAGGCAGCTGAACCTTGACCCCCACCCTGCCAGACCCAAGCAGGCAGGAGCCCCAGACCTGGTTCCTTACCGCCTCTTGTACCCCTGTCCACCCCCAGCTGGGGTCCAAGCTGCCGTGGGCTGGGTTGGGTCAGCACATCCTCAGGCCCCGACGTGTGCCTGCTCATCTCCACCCCGCAGACAGTGCTGACGCCAGTAGAGGTGGCCATTGAGGACATGCAGAAGAAGACTCGGGAGCTGGCCTTCGCCACCGAGCAGGACCCGCCTGATGCCAAAATGCTGCAGATGGTGCTGCAGGGCTCCGTGGGGCCCACTGTAAACCAGGCACGGTCGGTGGGGTATGCAGGCTGCCTGAGGCCCCCAGCGGCCGTGCAGATATCGTCACAAGCCCCTATCACCCCACAGGGTCCACTGGAGGTGGCCCAGGTGTTTCTGGCCGAGATCCCGCAAGACCCTAAGCTCTTCAGGCATCACAACAAGCTGCGGCTCTGTTTCAAGGACTTCTGCAAGAAGTAGGCCTGACCACCCCCACAATCAGAGTCCCTCTAACCCCCCGCATTATGGCTCTCTGCCTATCTGACTCCCCAGTACAGCCTGTCTATCAACCTGAGCCCCCATTGTAGCCTCTCTGATTTCCATTAAGTCATATCCACCTGCCAGACCCCCATTATAGGCTCCTCTGCATGCCTGACCCCAGCTCGCGAACTCCCCACCTCTGGTCTTGCTTTGTCTTCTGAGTGTCAGCCCCTGAGCATCTCCTGCCATCTGGTCCTCCCTCAGGTGTGAGGATGCGCTGCGGAAGAACAAAGCCCTGATTGGGCCGGACCAGAAGGAGTACCACCGTGAGCTGGAACGCAACTACTCCCGCCTGCGGGAGGCTCTGCAGCCTCTGCTCACCCAGCGCCTGCCTCAGCTGCTGGCGCCGAACACAGCAGGCCTCAGGTGCCTGACCCAGGCCTCCCACCCTAGAGAGGGAGAGAGGGGGCAGGCAAAGCCAGGCAGAGCGTGGGGGCCGTCATACATGTGCACATCAACACGGGTGCTCAGGGCTTTGCACAGTCATGTGAATACTCAGACACGTATACATATTCAAGCTCAGGGCAACCGTTTCTGATCATTTCCCAGGTGTGTGACTTCATTTTTCTGAGCCTCAGTTTCCACATCTGTAAAATGGGCGTGATTCACATCTCCAGTGGTGGATTCTAAGAGAGAATTTCTGATTCCATGGCCAGATCAGAACCAATGTAAAAGGAGCCAGGAAGACCATAGAAGACCTCCTTGGAGGAGGAGGGTGGAGGAAAAGGGGGTGGGGGAGGAGGCTGGGGAGCATTATGGAGTTGGGGGCCCTGTGGCCATGTTGATCCACTTCATTCCTCCCCCAGGAACTCCTTGAACAGAGCAAGTTTCCGGAAGGCTGACCTCTGAGCCCACAGGGCCTGAAGCCACACCCATAGGAACCAGCACCCTGGACTCGGCTGTCTGTGCCTTCCTGACAGTCTCCCCCACTGCCCACTCAGCCATGGGGTGACCACATCGCACATGGGTCTGGGCCCTCTGTCCCTCTGTTCTCGTCTGTGTGCACTGATGCTTCTTACCTTTTCTAATTTAAAATGGTTTTTATAAACAGCCTGTGTGGTGTGGTCCCTGGGAGCTGGGTCCCATGTGCACCCTCTACCTGCACACCCTGATTGTTGATGTACAGACACTGAGAACCAGTTGGGTGCCAGGGACCCAGCAGTGACAACGGATGCAAATTTCTGCCCTTGTAGAGCTGACATTCTAGTGGGGAAGGCAACACACAAATGACAATGTCACATGTGTGCAGGGGGAATAATAGTAACATTTATTAAACTCTCGTTAAGTGCCCAGCCCTGTATAATTGGCTCCCGCAAAGACACTGCCCCATTTATGGGCCTTTCTGCCTGAGGGACCTCTATTAGGCCCCTGCCTCATGGTTACAGAATCATCTTAACACCACTATCTGGCAGGCAGCATTCTGAGCCCCATTTTACAGATGGGGAAACTGAGGCAGCAAGTAAAGGCTTGGTGAAGTTAGGATTGGAGCCCAGGTCTGGCTGGCCATGGAGCCCAGGCCTTAGCTACGGTCTGTGCAGCCTCGCGCTGACCCAGCCCTCCCTTCCCGCTCCGCGGTGGTCACGCCACCGTGTACCAGGCCTGTGCTGGGCGGCTTCCAGCCCTGAGCTGGCGGGGGGTGGGGTGGTGGTGATGATGGTGATGATGGTGGTGATGATGGGGGGGGGGGTGGTGGTGGTGGTGGTGGTGGTAGGGTGACCTCCCGCAGATGCCGCCGGCACCACCGCCCTCCCTCCAGGAGCTGGACCCCAGCCAGTCCCGCCCTCTCGCGCCCCCCGCAGCGGCCCAGCGGCAGCTGTCGGAGGGAGTGGGGGAGGATAGCGGTGGTGGGACCCTAACCCGAGGACAGGAAGAGGGGGCGAGGCCGGATACCCCACGCGCGCACACACACCTGCCCGTCCAGGTGCGATCGCCACAGTGGCCGGGCCGCTGGCGACTAGAGGGGCGGGGCCAGCCGGGGGGCGGGGCGGGGCGGAGCTACCGCCGAGGGCTGGGCGCTCGGGCGGCGGCGCGCTGAGGACGCACGGGCGGTGGGACGCTGGGACAGCGGCGGCCGGAGCGTGCGAGGCGAGTAGGACCCGGGCTGGGTCGGGGTTCGAGTCTGGTTCGTGGTTCCAGCGTGGTCCCCACCCCACCCACCCCACCACTAACCCCGCGGCGCGATCTCGCCGGTCTCTACCAGCTGCTGCCTCCAACTCCATCATCTATGCCCCAACTTTCCGGACTTTGAGTGTCTTCGTCCCGCGCCTCTGCCCCGTCCTCATCTTTGACCCTGTCCCCTGCTTCTCTCCCCCAACCCCAACCTCCATCCGTACCTCCCTGCCCCTTTGCCCCATCACTGCCTCCCCTCTGCCCCTCTCCCCCGTCTCCATCCTCCTTTCTACCTCTGTCCCGCCTCCCCACTCCCCCACCCAGTCCTCCCTCGCCCTCCTCCGCGGCCGGGCCAGAGCCAGGCCCAGGCGGCGGGAAGGCGGCCGGGCGTCCGGCCGGGCTGGGCCTCGGCCTGGCGGCTGGGCCGGCGTGGGGAGCAGCAGCTGTTTGCCATTAGCTGGGGACCCCGCAGGCCCCGCCCCTACCCTGTACGGGGCGGGGTTCTCCTCGCCCCCGTCTTTGAGGCGGGGAGAGGAGCGGGAAGACCCCAGAGGCGTCCAGGCTGGTCTGGGAGGGGGGCTTTAGGGAGACCCCGCCGGACATCCACGACTGCCCGGGACCCCCGGCCCCTTCCCTGAGCCTCCCACCTGTCCCCTCTTGGAGTGTCCTGTCCCTTTCTCTCCATGTCTCTCTGTCCTATCCCGTATCCTCCGCTTTCTCCAGGGGTCCTATAGAGGGAGAGGAGTCTCAGCCACAGACACCCACCACCATTACACTTTCCCCCACCATCTGCTTTCTCCACCTTGAGTCAGTCTCCGGCCCACGTGGAAGACGGTCAGATGGCTGGAGACCCTCAGACCTCAGTCTCTCTGCCTGGGAAATGGGCAGAGGAGTGTGGTGAGGGGCTTAAGGGTGGCTTGGCTGGCAGTGGGGGAATCTACCAGGCTTAGGATTCAAATCCAGACCCAGCTAATTCCCCCTTCAGTGACCCTGGGCAAGTCACTGTGTATTTCTGTGTCCCCAAACACCGCATCTGTAAAACAGGGTGATAACTACCCACCTGGTAGGGTTGTCATGATGATCAAATGAGTTGCCGGGATGATGATTATGGTTATTACTGTTATTCGTCTCACACCCTCCACCTCCAGGGTTCCACACCGGGGCCCGTTCCTGGTCCCTGCCTCCAGTCTCTCTCAGGTCCCCAGAAACTTTTTAATTCACTTTTATTTTATCAACTGTGCCACACATCATGCGGGATCTTAGTTCCCCAGAGATCGAACCCGCGCCCCCTGCACTGGAAGTGCAGAGTCCTAGCCACTGGACCGCCAGGGAAGTCCCTGCAGAAAATATTTTTGATCACCTCCCTGTTGTGCGTGGGATGGCCCTCCAGGCAGCTGGAAAACCAAATTTCCTACAATTGGGTGACTGTGTGTTCCAGGCATTGAAAGACAGAGAAGTGAGGACAGAGACGTGGAGAGACAGGGAGAGAGAAGTGAAGAGAGACACAGAGAGACAGAGACTTGGAGAGACACAGAGAGACCTGGAGAGACGAAGCAAGACGCTAAGCAAGGAGGGTGTGAGACAGGAGAGGCTTGGCTGCCCCTGGAGCCCCGGCCCCGCCTTCATGCCCAGCAGGTGGCCCACCTGGCCCATCCTCCCAGGTACCCACTGCCCCAGCACCTGCAGCTTGCAAAGGGTCCTCTCTGGTGGTGGGATGGGCCGGGATCTCTGCAGCAGGGTGGCTAGGGGTCAGACAGCAGAAAGGACTGGCCAAACTCAGGTAGAGTGTTGGGGACAAAAGTGCCCTGGCCAGCCTCCAGGGCTGGGGGGAGCAGGTTAGTGAAAGGCCCTCCTTGCCCCTCTACTTTGAAGCCTCCAGGCACCCCCTCTTACTTCCCCCACCCCCATGACTTCTCGGGCCTCCACCCAGCCTTCTATCCCCGCCGCACTGCCCCCCGCACCCCCCCCAGCCCTGAGCCGGACGTGTCCTTGGTCGGGGTGGTGGGGGGTTGGGGGCAGGAAGTTCTCGTGTAGCCCAGCAGCGAAACTGTTTATTTTTAGAGAAAATTGTTTCCATAAAGGGAAAAGGCCTTGCTCCTCGCTGCCTCCCCCCAACTTTCC